CCTCCGTCCCGTTCACCTTAACCTGCGTTTTGTGATGGCCTTAAGGACAACACTTTTTCCCAGGAATCACCAAATCTAATCCAATTGTAATCCAAATGTAATGTTATGTAAAGACTGAATTTTCAGTCTATTCTTCGTACTTAGTTTGTCTAAAAATACGTTAATTGAGCTCTAATAAATCTTGATGAAAACCTATTTATTCTTCAACCTAACGAACGTAAGTAACGATAGTTTACTAAGAAAGTTACTATGGGTACATTACTTACATTGAAGGTTATGCACGAAGGCACAATTTATTAATTAAATATTTATTATCAGAAGTAATTTTATTGCTTATTATAATAAAAAACTCGTAGTAGGCCAAAACTTTTTATAGCTTAGTCTACGGTAAAATTTATCAATGTTAGCATTCAAGATCATTTCAATCAAAATTAAATGAAAATCGATGTTCCAGATCGAAGCATAGCTGTCTTCAATTTTGAATAAGACTCACACTTTCATGAGAAAATTCCACTTTTAATCTCATTGCAAAGCAGCTGAGCAAAACAAGTTCTGTTTCCGCTTACAATGTTACCGCTTGTTAGTAATTTATGTTCTTTTCTTCGTAAATTAAATTTTTACAAATTAAGCCTCTGGTCTGCCATTTGCGATGGCGTCCAAGCTCACTTGGCGTCAGCTTGTTTAAATTGATTCCAAAGTGTAGACCAAGCTAAGTAAAAACTTCGAAGATTAGATACTGAGTGAGTGATCCAACTAAAATTTTTGTCTTTTTATGCAAATGAATGAGGAAGTCAACAAAATTCTGTTGTTTATTTGGACAGCAGAAAAGTGCAGTCATCTCTTTTTTCACCTGAAGAGGTCAAATTAAGATCACAATCGAGTTTTGATGAAGAGGTCTTAAATGATGAAGAGGTCTTAAATGATGAAGAGGTCTTAAATGATGAAGAGGTCTTAAATGATGAAGGAGAGAGTGATAGCGTGCATGTGAGTAAAATTTTGTAAAAACCCAAAATGCTACAGAAAACTGGCTAAAAATAAGCTTTAAGTATCAACGCCATGTCAAATCCAAAAAGTTGGGCTAACAAAAGAAATTGTAAAAAATGAAAATTTGAATCTTTCATTTGTTTAAATTCCATTGCTTTGATTCTTGAGAAAAATCAATTTTACTGTTTCTTAAATCTATGTTTCCATATTATTGCAATGATTATTTGAGAAAGAGTCATCGATATAAAGACTCTTATGACAATTGGACTCTTCGTCTATAGAATTCAAAGCTATCAAGACTGTCCCTATTACGCTGCGATTAATTTATACTCACCTAAACTAAAAGCCACAAAAACGAGCTGAAATTCTGGCGCAGCCTTTTGAGGATGAGTTGAAAAGGTATTCATAAGTTGTCTTTAATCTGACAGAATTGCGAAAGCCAAAAACGTGAAAAACAAGAAACTGTTGTTTATTACATGTTATCAACCTTAAACTTCACTTGACTCACCAGCAACTCCAACGTTGAGGTATGAAGTATCATTATTATTATTATAATTTTGACTACTTAATAACTTCAACTCAACAACTCCCAAGGCTACAATCCAATGCAACTTGAATCCCAACACAACAAACTACAATCATCTCTATTAACCTTATTTCATTTCTTTCCTTTCAACTCTTTACTCTTATTCACTTTGCTCATCTTTTCACTCTCAACCGTTATCATCATCATAACCAACATCATCTTGTTTCATCTCATTCCATACTCATGGATACTCAATGTATCTAAATACTCGTTCAACTAGTAAAAACAACTCGCAAGTGATTTTGTGATTAAATTTGCTCAACCATTAATAAAAGGGTCAAGTTCATGTTCAGTAAACATTGCACCAGAAAGTAAGCAATGTGGAAGCAACAGCAACAAAAAATCAAATGTAACTAAACACAAATTGTAATCGGAACTTGAAATTGTAGACTGAAAAAAAGTTGAACTTTTCTTTCATTCCCTTTTCATCTCAACTCGAATCATAATTTTCTCATTCTTTCCTCTTCTTTCAACCTAAAAATACCAAAAATGAAACCGTAAATTTGATAGACTCACCAAGAGGAAGAGAGGAGTGAACAAAACTGGATTTCATGAAGCAAAAAACAGAAAAAAAGGAAGAAAAAAAGGAAGAAAAAAACTTTTCTACTTTTACTTTATTCCAACCTGGAGAACAAAAAAGGTAAACAAAAGCAGAGTTTCATGATGAAAGGAAACGATTTAGCTATCGATTCATCGATTAATTCTTGACTTTCTCTAAACAGTTTATCGTTATGTAATAGCAACATGTTTAATTTATAATTCAATTCATCTTGAAAAATGTTCAGTCGAACAAGATTATTTTTCAAGATTTCTCCTTTTCACCACCAACTTTGACTTGTCATTTTCATCCCTTTTTCATCTTCTTTTTCATCTTCAATTATTGAAAGTTTTTAAACTTCTTTCATCTCAAGTAAAACTTAACCTTTGAAGATCACATCTTAATCATTTGCTTCGCCTTCATCACCAGCATCTTCATCCTGCTCCAATCACAATCCTTTCAATTCACCAAACCAAATTGAACCTCAGTTAATCCAAGGAGAAGAAAGTTGAAAGAAAATTGATTCTTCATCTTTTTTCTCCAATTGTACATTCCATTTATCTTTCAATTCTTGTTTACCTTTTCTTCCAACATTAATCATTGATAATTCATTTTGAATTCATTTCAACATTTTTCAATCTTTTTTCTCCTTCAACTTTCATTTGACTTTGCATCTCTTGTAACCTTTTCTTGCAATGAATAGTCAACAATAATTTACTGATTTATTTTGACAAAAATGATTCTCCAATTTCAGGCAGCTTTTTGAATCTCAAATTTCATTTCATGAACATTTGATATTAATTAGAAAAGGTTTACTCGATAAAAATAGCGATGCAGTGAAACTTTGCACTTGAATTTTCACTTAAAAACACAATTAAATGGGCAATAAAATGTCTCGAGCATTAATTTGATTTATCAAAACAGAAAACAACTTTTCTCACTAAGTCACACTTTATCAAAATGAATATTTATTCTTAAAGATTATTATTCATTTTGAAGTTGTGAGAAAAGAAAGAAAATTGCTTAAGATTCGATTTGCTCGAGTTTTCCATTTGCAAGAGTTTAGTGACTTTTTCCATGCAAACAAAAGTTTGAGCAAAACAAATAATTTCATTTTTCTCAGATCATTTTATGATTATAACAGTTGACTGAATTTGATCATTTTTCATGGTAAAGATGAAAGCAAGACGAACAAATTTTATGCAACAAAATTACTCGAATGACAAAGAAAGTGACGAAAACATGACAGACGAAAATTTCAATATTTGCATTCAACTTGATCCGACTTTTTAACATCGAGTTGACCAAAAAGTTTTTGTATAATTTAAGGCTGACTTTTTTGAGGTGTTTTTGAAATTTAGAATTGAACTGTTTGGTTTGAAAAATGAGTCAATGCTTGTTGACAATTCTACAATGTATAATCTGTATAATGTTTGACAAATTGAGAAAAACAAAGAACTTAATTTCCTTTGTTTGTATCATGCATATAGCTTGCTGACGCACGATCTCCTTCTTTTATCATTTAAACAGGTTTTGAATGGCGTTTCCGCTAGAAAGGCAATTAATCATACATCAATGTCTGCAGTTGAAAAGTAAATAAGATGAGAAGATCAATTGAAAGTCAATGATTGCTGTTTTTGCATAATTTAGGCGAAATTGAAAAAAGTAAGAATGTTAATGTGACTATGCAAATATCAATGATACAGTTATAACAGCTGGTAAGAATAAAGGTTTGCAACAAGATAAAAACATTCGGATACAAGGAGCATTCAACTCGAAAAGGAGATCGGATCACGGATCGCGGACCATCTTAAAGCTCCCGAGATTTCTGATCGACGCCATTTCATGAAACAGCAGGTAAAGGAAATGATCCAGGAACATAAGAGGATTCAAGAGTACCACAAATGCTACCTCAAGAGAGTAGATTGATTAAAAGCGAGTGATTCTGGAAA